AAGCTATCCTTTTATCTCATGTGTTATAATGTTACTGATTTATTTTATTACATGGAACAACACGTTTTAATGGCAACAGTGTACACAGCATGACGGTCCTCTGCAGTGATAGATCACTTCATGTTTTCAGAACCTGAAAATATCAAGCGTAACTGCTTGAATAGTTTGTTGTGTGGAGCTTTTGCGTGATTCCACCTTCAGCCAATGCTGGGTAAATATCCTGCAGAGCAACATGATGCCAGAAGGATACTTCAGGACCCCAGAGGTCTGTGTTTTGATCACCTCCTTGTAAAGAGTCAAAATGAGCCAGATTAAGCTGAGCAGTAATGAAAAGTTAAGTGCACTGGCTTAATTTTCTGTTGTCACATTTGCACTCTTTACTCAACTTTCACATCCCTCCAGCAGGGGAGAAATGTCTCTATAGCATCTTCTGAAATATGTTTTTGTCTTTCTGAGTTTTAGTTTTTTAACCAGATTAATGTCTATTTGAGTGGATCATGATTTCTCTGCTCTGATGCCCAAACGTTGCACTTGCTTTCGTCACACAAGTTTCGCTTTGAAATAATGCCTTAAGATCAAAGTGCTGAAATAAAATTGATATTTTTTAAATATCTAAAAAAAAAAAAATTTAAATTTAAAAAATAAAATGGACATTCCTACCGAATCAGACAGATCTCAATTGTACTGATCATTTCGGATCACCTGAATGAGCTACTGTTATTAACTAGGGTCCCACAATTTTGTTTTTAGAATTACATTCACACTTTTGTTAACTGTACAATAACACTTACCACAGCAAGAACACAGTGTAGTAAAAAAAGAAAAAGAAAAAAAAAAAGATTATATTGGAGAAATAAAATATCACAATTAGACGTCAGTTTAGAAGAGAATCACTTCTTTCACGGTCTGTGGTCTGTATACTTCATTAAAGGTGTCAGGTCAGCTGTAAAGCTGTCAGAGCTTCTCGGCTGCAAAAATAACACTTCAGGTTTTTCTTATGCACCCATACACAAATCTTTAATACATTGTGTGTGTTAAATAAAATCTGCAGCACATTGTAGGACTATTCACATCGTTCAATTAAGTAAAAATTGCAAGTTTGAAGATATTAAATAAGCTGCTTTCTTAAAAAAAAACAACAGCTGTAACGCAGGACTTGTTCACATTTAAGCAATTTAAAAATGGTTCCCAGCTTTGGAGTCACACACATTACAATGTAATATACTTAAGTTAAATAAATAAATGAATACAAACTACATGTAGTTTCTTTTTAAATATGTTTCACAGACTGTTTCCACATCTACAAACATTAACATTACTCTGAATACACTATGCATTCCCCTCATTCTCTGTCCCAACTATGTTGTCAAAGTTGATGGATGTTTCATAGATTGTGCATTTTGGCTGTTGTCTTGTTTTATAGTGCATGCTTTGCCAAAATATGTGTTTTCTTATTTACCTTTACTGCTTTAAGAGAACAACTTAACCTGACCACAAGTTCTAAATCTACTGAGAACCTTACAGTCGATTATGCGGATGAAAAAGACAAACTCGTTTACTTTTAAATTATTTTAGAGACTGCCACTGGATGTCAGCAGAGCTCCACAGAGCTACAGGAGGAGCACAAGATGCTCTTAAAAAGACAAAAAAAAAAAAAAAAAAAAAAGGAGGACAACTGGAGTTTAAATCCACCATAACAATAATGCACATGGAATACAAACACTTTCTGAGGTTTAAGCATTTGTGGCATTCGTTTTGATTACGTTTAAATATGCAACAATCTACCAGCAAGTTGCATCAGATCAGTAATTGCTAATTGTTGAAATTCTGTTGATAACTCAGCTATTTATATATGTTCTTCCAAATCTAAGTTTTTTGAGCGCAAATGTATTTCCTGGCCTGCTCAGGCCCTGATACTCTCTCACACACACACACTTTGTTCAGACTGCTGAACACAGCAGAGTGGTCCACACAGCCTTCTCTCCACTGAGGACCAGTCTTGCAATGATCAGCAAATACATAGACCAGTCTAATCCCACCACCGTTCTGCCTGTCTGTGGACAGTTTGCTGTTTTTTTTTTTTCTTCCTTGCAGGCAATTTGCCTCAAAGAAAAGGCTGTAAAGAGTTTGTTGCACCGCGCACAAGTTCACCATAAGCAGGCAGAGTTATTCCCAGTGGACACGCATTTTGTTTTTGTTCCAAGTAATACAAAAAGGAGCTGAAGGCTGATAGTTGTGTGCATACTTTTATTGCCTAATTAATCTGAAAACAGAAGATAAAAAAAAAAAAAAAAACCTGAAGGAACGTAAATAAATAGCTGAACAATAAATCAATTAATACATAGATTCGATTTTAAGAGCAAAACTTGTTGCTGCACCAAAAAGTGAACAAAGCAACAACTTATTCACACCAGCAGATCAAATGTCTGGTTTCATCAGCCACGTTTAACACGAAATTATGCATTTAGTGGGCGTGTCCAACTGGCAGCCAATCAGCAGCCGCTTTTCAAGCGTCCACTGTACGGCGGCGGCGCACGAGGCGACGTTCGAATTATTCATTAGAGCAACTTTCAGAGAATATTTTGTATTTTTTCCTCCAAGCCATTTTCATATTTAACGGGTAACCTCTCCTTCTCGTCCGGGCTCATAAACTTAAAGAGTCATTCAAGGTTAATATGACAAAAATCTTGTTAGCTTGTAGAGTTGTTAAATCTCTGAAACAAGGATGCCTGGTTGGCAGAAAACTTGGAAACACGTCGAGCTGCTTGACGTGTCAAACAGCAAGACTCTTTAGTGTGAAGGTAAGACAACAGTTTGTGAATAAAGTGTTTTATTTATAGATACATGCAGAAAAAAAAATAAAATCCCCAAGCGCCTCTAGTTGAGAATAGCGACACTATAGGCCAAACTTCGTTTAAAAAATCTCGGAATTTGGTATTTTCTTGCGTTGAAACCAAGCTGTGTATATTAAAAAAAAGTACGACTTGTTTCCGTAATTGAGAAAAGCTATTCTTTCATTCGGCGTAGAGATTTTTCAACAAATGTCTTCAAAAATGAACGTAAAGTTGCAAAAAGTGCATGCTGCATATGACGGAGTGAGCAACGTGAGAAAGTTGGAAGAGTGACGTCATCTGTGCGATGAAATCTATAGTTATTAAATTAGTTGATTTAACTAGACTTTGTTCACCCCCATGAGAACAATTTAGATAAATGTATGATAGTGAAACGTTTTGAGAGGATACATAAATAATCCAGCGTATTAATGGCATATTCTCTGTGTTCTAATGGGATGCTGTTTGAGATTCTCAGCTGTTCTGCGCAGCTGCAGAACTGGATGCGTCACTTGTGCAATTCACATTTGGTGTTGCATAATATCTGACACACTCT